AACGAGTCGGAAGCAATGACAACTTTATCGTTGCTATTCACGATGGTATATCAAAATACGTTTAGGCCATCAATCGTACAGAAATAAATGTTTCGAGAATCCATAACCTTTTGTTAATCGTTAAAAAATGCTCTTTTTTCGTACAGACAAGCAACTTAGGTAAGTTTATGTCCATACCTGGTTCAATAAAGGATACCAGCAAAGCAATCCCATAAAATGACCAAATTCTCTCAAAATCATTATTTGATGAATTTTATTCCTCTCGTGTGCTTTTGTTTGGAGCATATTAAATTTCGGTTGAAAAAAGAGACTTTTTGATTGGATTTTTCCTTCTATATTGGCGATTTCGACAACAATAAACGGCAGGTGGCCAATCAATTTTTAAATTTTAAAAATCTATAAAGTTTTTGTTGAGGAGTAAGAGGGCATCGAGAACGCCGTATGATGATTATTTTATTGCAAGAGTTGCAAAATTATTAATTTTCGGCAGAAGCAATAGCAATTGAATGGTTAGCAGATAACAAAGAACAAATTTTAACAAACACGACGTATTTTTTACTTTCTTCTAAATATCAATCTTTTTTTCAAAAAGCTAGAAATAGAAAATTTAATTTGCATCCCATTTTCTATTTAAGCCGCCACCATACACCTACAACGCAAATTTACATTTACTTATTTAAAATTCAATCCCGTCCTGTTAAGGTTTGGTTATCTGTGTTATCTTGGGAGCTAAATGACCTCGATTACTATTTTGTGTCTTCATTCAGCCACCAGAAACAAGAACACACTTCATGGGGCGGATGTATTCTGGCAGAAGGACCGAGTGGCCGAAAACTATTATTGGATATCTTCAACTATCCCCCCTCCCCTATGGTACCTAGTAACGAAGTCACACCCCCCTCCCCTGAACAAAATGTGACATTTCACATCGGTTTGTTTTGGTTTTGTTAGTAAGTTGTTGGTTAGTTGGTTAGGTTCAACTAGAGTTTTGTTGGTTCGATCGAAGGACTTCGATTAGAACTTTGAGTTGTTAGAAGTGTTCGGTCATTCAGGTCTTCTGGTATATGCGACTAGCCCCCCTCCCACTTCATACATAACTAGATTACCTGGTTCTGCCCGTCGCCGGAATTGTAATGATTATGTAACCAATGAAAGTCATAAATATTACATAATGCGATATAATAACGATAGACTGCGGTGTACTTTTACGTTATTCAGTAGCACTAACAGACGTCATAAACCTATAATGTTTCTTCTTTTTATCTCCACATCTTCAATTCTACCCCACAGGGTTTCTCCGTTTTTTCGAAACTGAGTTATTTTAGATTAATGATCTCGATTAGGCTTTTATTTAATTTAATTTTTTGCTCCAGAAAATTTTTTTGTTAATTTTGTTTTTTGTAATTGCTTTTTTTGCGCAGTCAATACTGTTTATTTTTAGAATTGTTACTTTGATCGGACCTTTTTTTGTGGGCGTCTATCATCTATTTGCATAATTTGACTTTTTTGCTCAGACCATTAAAATGGAGAGGAATTATGCTTTCGGGTGTAATTCAATCAGGGGATCTACTTAACAATCTCCACCCCTTTCAAGAAAGGGGGGAGATTGTTGAGTAGGTCAAAATGGTCGATTTTTCAAGCAATCAGAATGCAGCAAAATTATAATTCTCACTAGAAAGCTCAGTGCTAATTCACTGTATTTATTTATAGGGGTGGAGATTCTTAAGTAGGTACCATAGGGGGGGGGGGGTTGTTAAGTAGATCCCAATCAGGTATCGTACCACAAATAATCATCGAAAAGGATCAAGCGTTATATCTTTCTGAAGCCCTTTCAATCGTGATTCTAACGACATTTAAAACGTTTCAATTTTTTTTTTACAGTATTGATGAAAATTGATGGGCGATATGTTACAATAGGCGGTATATTTGAGAAGTATTTGAGCAGTGCATGTATTAAATTTGAAAAATCTTGTGCATGATACAGTCTTTTCCTTTTCAATCACTTGTACACCTCTCTAGGATAGTTTTTGTATAGACATAACTCTGTCAGATGAATGGTTATTTAAAGAATCAAACTTAACAATTCTTTTGCCAAAAGTTTGGCTTTGAAATAAATGATAATTAGTGTGCGAAGTATAAGAATGAGCGATCCAGTTTTTTTAACTCAAATTTGCCACCTATTGTAATATATCAGCGAATATTGGTTTAAATTTTTTGGCTTTTACCTCAGTTGTGAGCAAATAAAACGAGCGAGCAGGCTAACAGTAGCTTCTTTATGCCTGTTTTAGGCCTTGCAAATTTAATCATACGCTAGTACATTATTTTTTGGAGTTTTTCAAACCATTTTAGAAATCAAAAACTTTAACGAAAAATCAAAAACTTTTGGCAAAAATACCTGAAAAATAAATTGAAGTTTCTTAAAATTTTTCTAGTCACTTTTCTACAAAAATGTTTGTCTAATTTGCCAATAGTTGTTTCAGTTAATGCAATAACTTGTCTCAGACTGTTTTGCAAAATTTTTGGGACCATTTTATTTTGTCGCTTTGCTACGCATTCAAAAAACTGGTTAATAGCGCTCCTATAGTATCCTAATTAGCCAAAAGTGGCTATTTTCAAATCTCCACAATTTTGCCAAAAATGACTACAGGTGAAATATTTTTTAAATATTTTAGTTAAGGGTAACAAAATCTTTCAAATTGTATAAAAATCCACAAAAAAACTGCCAGTTCAAATTTGTTTAGCAGTAAAAAAATTGCATATCGAGCCCAATTTTTCCCTCACAACAAACGCATTCAGAGGTCAGAACTTCCGAACATTCCCTTTTCGAATTTTGTCTCAGTTTTTTTACATCATTTGGAATTGGTTGAATCTTAGAATTCATAATTTAGGCCCTATTTGTTTCATACTTGTCAAAATTAAGACACAATTCTACTGCGCTTTTTTGAGTTTTCACAAGCTTTTTCATAATTTGTTTTTTTTTAAAGTTCGAGAAAACTTGCACCGAAATGGCTATGATTGCATTTAGTTCAAATATGAGGCTAAAAGATTTCAACGAAGTTTTTCCATATCGAATTCAACCTAACGGAAAACAAATTTGAACCAATTATGGTACTTAAAATTAGTCATCCAAGCAGTGGAATTTTTTTTTGGTCTAAAAAGCATACTTGTTTTCATAAAAATGGGAAAATACAAGTTTGAAAGGACTCAAAATTTTTTTCGCTCGGCAATATGAGCTAGAGGCTTAATAAACCGTTTTTTAAGCATTGGCTTCATTGTCTTTTTTGGCTGCTTGAGTAGTACAGCAAGAATAAGATAATTCCTTTAAAGCTTGTGTCCGCGTTCTGATTTTTCCCTCAGTGTTGCAACACCCCATCACCTCAAAATATACATTTTAATAAACTGACTTATTGTAGTTAGTTATTTAATATATTATAATAATAAAAAACGTCAGATTAGAATGCGTTCAGCTTTTTTATCCATATCCATTTAACTCTACCATTCATTTCAGCTAAAATAATCAAAGATAGTTATCAAAATTTCCGCTAAAATCGTCATTGTACAGTGTGATTGAAGTTATTAAAAATTTTTTTTCAAAAAGCACAAATGCTTTGAGCCTGAAATGGTGCTTGTTGCTTTATTTTTTTTTTGTTTTCGCGAGAATCTCGACTTGTTATTTCTACTAACCTTTAACGAAACTCGCGAGGGTGTCTAATTTTGTCATCTTTTCAGCAAACCCTAAATCTAGTTTTTTCTATATTTTCTCAGCGTAAATATCGTCGAATCTTTTTACTCAGACAGTCTAAATATGTTTCAAGCTTGATAGCAAAGTAATGAAGCTTTGCTATATGTTGAAATTCTACTTAAAACCTGTGAGAAGATCTACTTTTTGGTTGAAATATAATTTGAAGAAAAACTATAATAATCGAAAGTCGAGACAAAAAATGTAATTCGTCAAGAGCAGACAAAAGTCGAGACGTTTTAAAAGCTTTTTCGCCAATCATTGTTGAGGCACTTCTTTCCCGCTATTTAATTGGCACCACTTTGCTCCCTACTTCAAATCGAAATAGATCCTTCCCCTTTTATCTTACCTCTTCCCATTTTACCATCAGCACATCTCACTCCAAATTTTACCCAAAATTTGTTATTTTTTCACTTTCTCTTACTAAAGATTGAGTTTTGTTAATGGAAAAACATCAAAATTAGTCTATCATTATACTTTAAGTTGATTTGTAAATTAAATTGGCCTTCTTTTGATAGTTTTTCTTGTTGGTAACAGCAAACTGGAGGCATAAATACGTTTAATACAGTAAATTAGTTGTTCAACAATTGTTTAAAATTGAATACGAGAAGTATTTGGTCGAATTGTGGGCATTATTAACTACCTTATGGTATCGTATTGTGACTCAATGCTCTTCTCACTCAAATCTCAGTAACTGCTCTTTACAAACAAGACAGTTTTATGAACGCAGCTTCGGACACTGTCTGTTTTAGACTAGTTTTAATTTCTTTTTTTTTCTCTTCAACCCGATGAACCGTGTTATAGCCTTTTTGATTTTAATTCATTATCGAGGTTTTCTTTAGCCTCTCAATCTCGCCTTAGACGCGATTTCTTGTGTGATTTTTTGTTAGTTTCCTAAGCAAGCAACTGGAGGACCCACTCCAACGGTCAAAAATGATTATAGTGGATAATCATGGTTCTTATCTGGCTACTGAAAGAGATCACTTTTGATTAATCCGAAACAGTCATTCTTTTAGAAAAATCCCGTGCATTTTTTGAGGGCGATAAATGCCTTAAAACTTATCAAAAGAGGATCAATTTTGAAATTTTCCAGAAAGTTCAAAAATGAGAAGAAAATCTGAGGCAAAAAGTGGATTGACTATTTATTTGAAAAAGCTCCATAAATTAAATTTAATGACATAGGTTATGTTGTTTTTAAAGTTGAATTATCACAGGTGGAGTTTTTCTGCTTCAGTTTTAAATAACGCTAATTATACTTCAGAGAGCATGATGAGTCCTAGTATGGACAGATGATGACGTGCAATCGAAAAGCAACAAGAATATGAGTACTTTCTCACTTCTGTGCGTAATAATCGGGTGCATCTTCCTCGCCATCATCCTCCTCTGTTACATTCGTCACTTGTTCGTGTTTGGCGTGAACTTCCCCTGTTCAGATTTGAAGACAGACTACTTCGGCAGACCATATCCAGATGCTGCAGATCCAGTGCCTGATGATGTCGAAGCACAGGAATCCGCACGCGGTCCTTTTGATCCAGACGAGGCTGCCAGAGGTTAGAAAATTTAAATTAAGGTTGCCGGCTGCCGTTGAGCGAGCACATAATGTTGCGACCAAAGTCATATTTTCAATTCAAATAAATTGAAAAAAAAAAACGAAATAGAAATCTTATCATGAAAGTGTTCTAACAAAAACCTAATTATTGAGAAAAACTATTTTGTTTGACCAATGTTTTACTTGCATTAGTTAGATGGATGACTTGTCGATATATTGTCAAAAGTCTGAAAATTTAAAAACTCAGACCGCTTTTGCCGACACGGACAATTTTTTTCGAAAGTTTTTAAATATCGATTGATTTCGACACCATTGTTCGGACTTCACTATGATTCATTCTCAAAACTCGTGGCACTTGTCTTTATGGTACCTGATTTTGCGAGAAAAAAGCAACTGAAAACAAGGCGGATTTGAAATGAACTAAACACGCAATAATAACGACACGAAAGCCCTGAATGTTCCGACCCTCCTTTTACTGGTCTCAATAGGTTTTGGTAAGGGAAACTTAGACGTATATCTTAGACTGCCACTACCAAATAAAAAATTAAATTAGAGTCTTCTAGGAACTCGCTTCTAGCAAACAGTAATTATACCCCATAGATATGGAATCCGTAAGAAACAAAATTTTATCTGATATCAATTTTGGTAAAAAATCTCTGTGGATTTGAAATTGCAAATTGGGCCATAATCTTTTATCTGATGCTAAAGCAATCGCAAAATGTTTTATCTGATGCTAAAGCAATTAGCCAGCTCTCAATAAAATTCTGATATAACTAAAGCACGATAACAAAGCTAATTGATCATTTTGCCAAAATGATCAATCAGCTTTGTTATTGTTCCGACTTTCGATACGAAAGTAACGGAATATTTGTGCTCGGGGTGGGTTTTTTTTCTTCAGACAAATTTCGACTTTTTAACTAGCCATTTTTGACGGAATTTTTAAAATCATTCAAAAGATATTGTTGTCCTGAGCTCAAATTTGAAAAGATATTTCACTTGTGATCATTTTTCGTAAAGTTACGGGGGTTTAAAGGTTGGCATTATGGAAAATTTGGGACAATTAACGCGCGATATATTTGAACTATTGGAAATTTTTTTTTCATAAAACAAACAAAACTGCTCGTATAACAGGGCAGAGCCGTGAATGTTCCGACTGGCCCTTAATCCATTTCAAATAGTTTTTGGTCCGCAAAAGTTTTTTAGAACTATAAACTTGGACAACATCAAACATCCAGTGTGAAAATTTGAGTTGTACGAAATTAATAAGACCGATAAGCTAGCTTTCAATTTGGAACGGTTTTGTTGCGCGGGATAATTTGCCACGCGTAAATAATTCGCGTTACGATTTCAGGATTCTGTTTAAAATCTACAAAGCACGCATAAAATAGTCCACAGAAGGGCCAAAAGGTTTTTTTTTAAACTCCCAAAAAAATAATCGCAAAAAATAATCGGAGGTAAAAGATCTTGCTGAATTTGTTTTCAGGGAGTCGATATATTCGTTGAAACATCAAAAAAAATTTGTTTAAAATTATAATTTCGATCACCGAAAACTGACTGAATGAAAAAACCACTTCAAGAATAAAAGTTCCGTTTTCTTCGAAAGTAGGAACAAAAATCTGATTGCTTTAGCTTTATTCTTTTTTTTGCAATCTCTTTGCTTTTTATTAGCAATTTCATCAACATTTCAAAAAATTCAAAAAAATTACAACTGTTCAACTGAAAATATTTGGTTTTCGAATAAAAAACAGTCAATGCAAAAATTCATTTCGGACCCGGCGTTTTTAATCCGATTTTCAAAAAATATGATGACTGATTTGTGCTTGCGGTGTTTTTCCACGCAAACGTTGAAAAAAAATCAGCAGTTTTTGCTGAAAATTTTGTACTACTTAAACTTTCTAAAAACATAGATTCATTTTAATTTCGTTTTCTTAAAGTTCTCGCATCTAGGTGCAGGCTTTTAAAATTGACCATAAATAATTATCTTTTCAATCTGGCAGTTTTTCTTTTAAGTTAAGGCTTCTGATATGTGAAATGAAACTGACAGCAACAGAGCAATTCGAAAGATTTATCAGAAAGAAACTCGAGATGAGTTGAATCTCTCTCTTCTCACATATTTCGGAGCGGGCTCAGAATGCTCACGAGGGAGCAAAATTTGGAAGATATCCAAGACAATTATTTTTCCAGATTGAATTTTTGCATACAGACAGACTTTGGTTATTAAATGGGTCGTTTCAGTAGTACTTCTAATTGGCTCATAAATAGGTGCTTATAAGAAAACTAGGAAAATAAGACTGAATACTACTGAAAAAGCTTTCAGTTTAAATTGAGGCAAATTGTTCTCTCTAAGGTATTCTATCGTAGCTTTTTTAAAATCTGTCTTTCTATAAACAGTCATTCGAAAAAAAAGTCAAAAAAGCTGATAATAAACAAGGATTGCCGGTCACTGTGCAAGTAGCACAGAATGATCCAACCGTAGTGTTAAAAATAAAGCACTTTTTTTTCAAATTTTTGTAGTTGTTTTGCGGTGTGATAAGGAAAATCTAAACAAAAATTAAAAATTAGTCGAATAGGCTACTTTTGGAAAACAGTTTTCGTAAAAAAATGACTAGAAAAACAAGAAAAAGTAATAAAAACGATTCAAACTTTTTGCAGATTTTTTCTGATTTTTGAAGTAATTGATTCTAAGCGCGGATCTAGGAATTTCTCGGGGTGGGGGGGGGGCGGATTTCCAAAAAAACATTGAAAATTTTGTTGACCTTTTTTTTCAGGTCGGTTAAATTGATTTTCTGAGCTCTCTCAAAACACTATAAAGACCAAATTTCGACAAAAAATCGCGATTTTTCGGCGCGCGCTCCCCCCTCAAAATTAGTATAGATTGGCGCCTAAGGCGCCTTTAGAAAAATTTTAAGGTCAGTCAACCAAAAATGGATATCTCAAAATAGTACAAAGGGGGGACCTGTTGCGTCGGCAGGGGATCGATTCCCTTGGGGTGGGGGAAGCGTCCGCCCCTCGCCCCCCGCCCCTCCCCTTAATCCGCTACTGTTTGATTCCCAAAAGGAGTCAAAAAAACCCAAAAACTAACTTTACTCCAGTGTAAAAAGATATAACAAGCTATAGTAAGCCTGCGCGCTCATGTTTTTAGCTCGAAGATTGACCAAAATCAAAAATTTTAAACCTGTTTTTTCGAAACTGAGAAAACTTTTTCAAATTTTTTTATGTCGCTCGACTTACGACTGAAAAGGCTTCAATGAGATATATCACTCGAACCATTTTCGAATATAATTTGTGGTACCTGGTTTTCCGTGGAAAACAAAAAAAAAGAAAAAAAAACAAACGCACCCGAATACAAAGCTCTCCAACATTTTTCAAAGGGTCGAAACAAAAAGAAAATTAAACGAACAGAAAATCAACAAACGAAATTTCAAACAAAACATCGCCATTCTTAAGTACAACCAAATACAAAAAGAACGAACTGCCAAATGCTTTGCCCTGATACGAGCAGTCTTGTTTATTTTTCGCTGTACAATCTTTAACAAAAGTTGTTTACGCTTTTTCACTATTAACATTGCATTTCAGAAAAGCAAGCGTTAGTTTCGCTACGCAGGAAAAACAGAAGAAAAATTACTTCACTCCTAGATTCCGTTGACAAGCCTCTCTCAAATCCTTCTTTATCGTAGTTTATTAGAGTACAAACCCTTCAGTCTATACTCTTCACTTTTTGTGAAAAAAGTTTTCAAAGATTCGTTGACGTAGAGAAAATAAACCTTGCAAGATTTTATTTACAGTATGCTAGCGATTGCAATTAAAAACTACAAATGTGAAAAATATACAACATATGGAAATTTATAAAATATTTATCAGGGATTTCATTAAAATTTACCCGTCGTCTTACTACCTGTGGTGTTTTCAGATGCGCGGAATTGAACAGGCAATCAAAGTTCGCGAATATTTTTCATGTCAATCAGAGGATAAGTTTGTTTAAAACTTTCAAAGATCTTGAAAACATTTCTGGAGTTAAATTGGCGAGCCAATTGAATCTCAAAGTATTCTTTTTTGAACACATATCATACTTTTTAGTATCGTTATAGAAAAAGTGCTTTATAGAAGTTCTAAGATGAAGGCTCCTCATGAAATTTATTCCCTCCCCTCTAGTCCAGCTAACAAGTTTATGAAAAGACTCTTTCCTCAATTTTTTTTCGAAAAATAATTCTCGATCTGATCTGTGAACCAGGCACCTATGCCATTCAGGTATCATACATACTTGACTGGAATGAATAGTTTTTCCCGGGTTCAAGTGTCGACTATAGAACAGATTTGATCGCGAAAGTAAAAAGTCGGTGGTGTTTCTGAAATCTTTTGTGAAATTACATTTTCTAGCAATAGGCTGGTCGTAAAGTCTAAAGCTGAAATGACGATGCAATGAATTCGTTGCTGCTAAAATAGCTCGTGGAAGACTTCGGTGGAAATTAGCGTTGAAGGCTACAACTTCATCCAAGTCCTGGACAATTATGTAATCATATATCATTGCGTATTTTAGATAACAGTAAGTATAGTGAACTGGTTTTGAATCTGCGGCTATTCTATACAAATTTGATGTTCTGTTGGAGTTAACAGATACTGGATACATCTCCAGAAAGCCAATATCTTCGTAGTGTTTCAATATTTTCCGGACAATCGGATCGAAGCTGAAGGCGTATTTGTTTTCGTCCAATTCGCCCATTGAAATCTTTTTAACACCGGTCAGTCTCTGGTACTCGAAGTATTCGACCATATTACTTGGTCTTAGAGCATCAAAATAGCTCGTCACTGCTGGCAAGCAAACAATAATACGAGGCTCTCTGGTTTTTTTGCTACTTTTCTGTTGATGATGGCGCTCGACTTTGATAGCATTGGTGATTGATTGATTTCCAAAACTAATTGAAACACGTTCAGGGCAGCTTTTAGAATGCCGGAACAAACAAATAATAAAGAACCCTGACCTAAGCTTGAAAATTCTTGTCG